CCCCCCCGCCGCGAGCCGCTTCAGGACTGACTGTGCAAATGGCTGCGGTTGCGATTCTCGAAGCTGCGCGATATTGATACTCTCGAATCGACGCGCGCCAGTAATCGACCTATCGCTTTCGGTCGCTAATATATATATATATATATATATATATATATATATATATATATATATATATATATTTTTTTTTTATATTATTAGTATAGTATTAGGGTATTTTTATATTATCTGGACCCAATATTCTTGAAATAATCGCATATACGTAATTTTATTGCACAACTACTTTATGATATAATTTTATCTGCGCAATAAAACTTACGTATACGCGACTATTTCAAGAATACAAGCTCTTTTTAGCTGAATACTGCTTGAACTGATGCACATTGATACAATAAGTTAGAGTGAAACAATATATATTTGTCTCACTCTAAATTATTACACCAATTCAGGCGATTTAGCTAAGAACAGATCTGAGAGAAGCTTTCTCTCTCGGTGAATTAACACGAAAAAGAGGGAAACATCGCTGCAAAGAATGTCTACTAGAATATATATATTTTCGTTACTTCTGATAATTTTCTTCTCTCTTTCTCTTTCTTTCTCTTTCGCTTTGAGGACATTATGTTTTACATATACGCTTCCATAAAACTTTATTCTTTTTTTTGGATTGCAATATGCGATCATCACTACGAAGGATACTCCTTACATTGATTATACATAACTCTCAGAATAATTCGCAAATTATATGTTATTCGTGTGAAACGCTGAATTAATATAATTATATTACTAATTTATAGTAGAAGTTATATTATATAGGCAGAAAACTCTCTCTATATTAGTAAATACATTAAATTGTGTGAGTTAGGATATTAATCAAAGAATAGAAACGTGTACGCGCAATCGAAGGATTGCGCATTCAAAAATATCGAGCAACTTCTCCCTTCTTAATTGTTTGATTATCAATTACCCGAGCTGTGTCTGAACTTTCAGTGTTGAATATTCCGAAAGAGATCGTTCACTAACAGAGCTTCTCGTTCTCGCGTGCATCCCTCGGTGTGTATCGATGCAAATGATTATAAAGTGGTTCAGCAAAACTTCCATAAAAGTCTCATTAAGGCACTCCCAAGGCACTCCCAAGGCACTCAACAGACAACTACTTCTCCTTCTTTGGCTCGGTCAGCTCCACTTCGATCATCTTCTTGTTCTCTTTCTCACTGTTGCTCTTCTCTTTGTGAGCTTCATTTTCGGAGTTTTCCTGCTCCTCTTCCTGCTCTTGCACCTTCTGCTCTTGCTCCTCCTCCTTCTCCTCGGCAAAGTTTTCGGAGTCCAATTCTTCCGCGTGCTTCTTCAGCTCCTCCTCCAGCATGCTATCCCAATCGAGGTTGTCCTTGCGTTCGCGAATTCTTTGTAGTTCGCCCTTCAGCATGTCTAAGCATTCCCTTCGTTCCTTCCATTTCTTCGACATCTCGAGGCTCTTCTTCTCGTCGTCGATCTGGTCCAGCATCTCCGACCTCTCCTTCTCCTCGCATTCCAACACATACTTCTCGTAGCTGTCCACCTGCACGACAATAAATCCAAGATAATCGATTTTTTTGTTCTTTATAGGACCACATCCGCACGTCTGTGAAAATTATATCTGCTGGAAATAAAGAGGAAGCGAAAGGTATTTACGCTTTACCTTATCCTGCAATATATCCTGGACATCATTTTGCCTCTTCAGATACTTCGGCATGCTGAAGCAGGCCTGAATGAGGTGCAGGAATAGCCAAATCGTACCGGCAAGCGCCAAGTAGGAGCAGGCGGTAAACACCATGTTCATCATGTCTTCGGTTATTTGTTGATGCTTCATAATGACAATTTATTCGACTTGAGTACGTCTGCAATGAAGACAGCGGCGCAATAGAAATCGGCAGAGAATAATTCGCGTGTGCAAGTAGAGACCGGCGAGCTGGGAAATGCCACGATCATCATACGTTCGCAGAGAATTCACAGGGAAAATTCGCAAAGAAAAAAACGAGCGAAAGCGAAACGCTCCCGAGCAAAAATTGAATCTAGTGATTGTCTAGTGATGACACAGAAAAGTTGGGTCTTACATCGCTACTAGCTAGTAATGTAACGTTCACTTCTCCTAGTGGCTGTACCAGAAAAATTATATATATAGTAGCTAGATACAAAAAAATAAATTGTGACTATAATTGGTATAAGTACTAGATAGTTCTGATATCCAATTTCTATTTACCGATGATTTTCTATCTCGTTACTGTGTAATCTTTTTCATCTAGCCATTATCTATGTAATTGGTATAGTTACTAGATAGTCCTGACATTCAAAAGACTGAGAATAGGAATGTTTAGCCAGTCACGAGCTAGTGACTGGCTAGAAAACTTATCTAGTCATTACTATCTAGCTACTAGTCTTGAAATCTGCTCTACTAGATACATTTTTGCTCGGGGCTCTTTTTACACGGAAAATTTTGTCCCCCTCGCGACAATCGGATCGATTCGCGCGACTGATGACACTATAATTCGGCAACTGCCTCGTCGCGTCGTCGATCGATTCGATCATCAGAAGAAAATCCACGTGTGATATTTTCTCTTCTCGCGCGGCCGTCGTTGGTCGCGTAAGTATTCCATTCACGAGACGAGCGGCCGGCGTCGCACGGTGGCGGCGGTTCGACTCGAAGGCGATTACAACACGTAGTGATAAGTGACCTACTGCGAAAGAGCGACGCTTCGCGCTGTGCCTTAGACACCGCCGCGATTAAAACCGTCGTATCCGCGAGAAAGGAAGAAGAACGACGTATTTGGGTTGATTCATTGGGGCGATAGCGTCGACGAGGAACCGTCACGGAAGCGGAGTGTTTTCGCCTCGGTGACGAGGAAACGTGAATCGCGCGCGTACCGTGAACGGGCGCGCAGATACGTCAACGTGACATCCATTTATCGGTGGCTTCGCCGCGATACGGCTGTATCGATTATACTCGTTCAGTGGAGTAGAATGCGAATGTAATATACACCGTGAGAAAAAGCTCGAAAGCCCCTCGTGGGATTTTGTGTGTCGTGAGGAATGCCAGCGATTGAAAGCTGAAAGGGTGAAGGGTACTTGTACAATGTGTGTCTCGAATGTTTTCCCGCTGTTTACTTTTGCAATTTTTTCTTCCCCTCAGAGCGAGAATCGTGCCGGTGGCTCGTGCGGTTTCGATCTGTGTGAATTGCGTATGTTCACATCGACACGTTGTAATACGTACGAGATGTCCTTTTACTATACTCACCATATTGAGAATGAGAACACGGTGTCTAATAATTACAGATGATTACGTGTCTCGGGTACGTTGCGTACTCGGAAATTATGCGCACAAAGAAGAACGACTTATTAAACAATTTCGAACTGCTGAGGGTGAATGCAAGTATTTGAGGTACAGAACTCACGATTCAAACGACGAATTCACCGATAACGGCTGTGTTCCACTGCCAATATTTGAAAATCTATCACTCGCGTTACATATTGCATAGGTTTTCATATTGAATGTCGAGCGCAGCCGAAGTTAAAAAAATGTAGATTCAACGAGAGCAAACGGAGCTCAGCGCTCCTCCGACTTGAGATCAATTTCGATCAGAAGCAGGAGGCCGATTTGTATCATATACAAAGATTGCGTTGCCGCTTGAAATCTTGCGAAACTGACCATCGTGCGCGATGTCAGCAGCTAAATCTCTCGACGCAAATCGCACTTTTGCGATCTGTCGTCACGTCTGTCATCGCGGGATTCGGTCGAGTGTGTCCTCAAATACGCAAAATTTCATGCCCGCTGTTAAATAGACAGCGAGACGCACTATGTTATTTTATTTCACTCACCTTACTCGAGAAACACCCGCGAGAACATAGCCGTGTAGGAGCGTGTTCCACCTAAGAGATACGCGAACTACTGAATGTATCACGTCTGGAAGTAGTAGGAACTACAATGCGTCCGACTGACAGGTGGGAACACTACTGACCCTCTATGAGAATAATCGATATACGGATGTAGCCACGTATGATTGAGCTAACACTAAACAAGTATTTCAGCTTACGTGCGCGCGCGTGTGCGTGCGTGCACTCACGAAATCTCTAATGAATAATGTGTGTAGGTATTCGACGGCGACACGCAAATTGCGCAAAGTTTGCCTGCGACAAAACATTCGGACGACTTGGAGGAAAGAAATATCATGGCTAATTGCGAGAAAATACACCTTTCCTCTTTTCTGTCACATTAATTACACAGAGTCGCTGGTTCGATTCGGAAGTGATCAAGATAAGTCACGAAGATCTTCATTCGCGACGATAAATTCGCGGCTATAAATGGAATTGAGTCACCTCTCGTGATCGATTAATAACGTCGCAATCGACAAGGATTCGAGCGGCAACGGTCGTTCGCAATAAAGGGCATTCTGAAATATTTAAGATACGTCGCAGTGACGTCTATCGATACCGGAGTCGCGTATAGCGGCGAGCGGGGATCTCAAAATCAGGTCAGGTGTCTCCATCTCTCGTAAATACGGCGTGGTAAGCTCGGGCAGAGAGAGAGAGAGAGAGAGAAAGAGACGCGAATCAAGAATACATAATATTTTATTATTTTACAGATAACTCAATAATAAAACGTTCCACGTCCCAACTAAAGCTAAGAGTAGTCTAAGCGCGGAATCGACATTCGCTGATTTGTGTTGATTCGTTACGTCGAGTGTCCGACAATATTTATTTCGTTACTTTACAGGTCGCACATTATTCTCGTACGCGACCACCGTCGAAAACTCTAGGAACACTGAGCAAAGAACAGAGCATTTTCAAAGATTTAGATCTATATCTGAGTAAATCATAATACGTATTATAATATCGCAATATATTATTTTTTTTTTTTCATTCAGTTTTCGAACCTGTTTTCGTTCTCCTTTCCACCGCTTAGTCGATCCTTATTCCTGTTCTTCTTAAGAAGAAAGAGCACTACAGACCACGTTTTTTTTAAATTGCAAGAAAATTCAATTTTTTTTACCTTTATAGTGGTCTTCCTTCTTAATGAAATTTTGATGCTTAAACTTTAATGTAAATCAATATTAATGTTAATGTACATGGTATAATTTAGAATATTAAAGAGATATATATATATATACATAAATTATATACACTAAAATTTACTCTCACATGCCAAAATATCACTCAATAAGAAGAACCAATAACATACTAATATATTTGGCAATAGAACATCACAGAATATAATTGAATTTTGTTTCCAATTTCAGTTATGTAACCAGCCTTAGCTTTACACAATTCATTCTTAGGCCAATTACGTCTGGCGTTAAGGTATACATTTAGATTTCTCAAAACTCTAATTTCTCAAGTGTCTCATTAACCTTTCGTTGCGCCTAAAAGAACTAAAGCGTTTGACCTAAGTTACTACATCTAGATGAAAGAATCTACTGCAAGAATGAATTATTCGCAGAGAAGGAATCAATTCAGAATTCTTGGTTCCGCCATGTAAAACGAATAAAATTTAGATCAGTGCTCCTGAAATTGTCCGACAGTGGTGTACATCTATGCAATCGTCGGGAATCTAATGTATAACATACGCTGTTTGCGATAAGGAGTTTTAATTTCTATGAAATTATGCTCACGCTCTCGCACATCTAAATCGCCCAATGCGGCACGTTCGTACACAGGAAGAAAAAACAGATCTGGAATGTGTAGTACATCACAGCAGAGTCGTTGAGGAGCAGGAGGACGAGAAGAGAGCGAGAATGCGACGACGGGGCAGAGGGTGAATGGAGAAGAACGAGGCCCGTTTTATAGTTATATCGCTTCACTTGTAATCTCGAAGGGGGCGGCAAAGAGCATTTTTGATACACACTTTCTCGACAGGTAGATGACCGGCGACGGGAAGTCAGCCGGCTTCTTATGTTGTCGACCTCACGTAGAACAAGAGATAGGGAGTGGCGGAGTTGCGCGGATTGGGCGCCAATTTGTCCTCGAGCTCGCGCAGCGGGATTACGTGTACCGCCTCGTCGTCGCATTCCAGCCAGATAACATTCTGTTTGTTGCGTCTAATGCCGCAACAGTCCATACTGCGACATCCGACTTTCACTACTTGCTCCTTGTTCTCGCTCGCGCTAGGCTTACACCTAAAAAGCCTGAATATACTCGACGACGACTTGTCGGACGTGGAAGACGACGAGTTCGTGCTCGTGGTGCCGCTTTGGCCCGGGTTCGGCCGTTTGTTGTCGCGATCACACTGGTAGTACTCCGCATATGCCGACTCGTCTGGTAGACGCGCATAAGCGACGTAGTGACCGGCGGTCATTGTCGCGCCCTGATGCATTATGACCGAATATAATTTGTACACGTGTCGCGTAGACTCCGCGCCGCCGCCGCCGGTTGTTGGTCCACGCGTCTGATCGTTGCTGCACTCTTCGCAGAAGCATTGTAAAGTGAGTGGCGTCGGCATGTGATTATTGATCTTCTCCATCGAACTGAAAACGCACGATTGCGTGATTGCGATGCGGGATCAACAGGGACTTCTGCTCCTCTCTCTTAACCGATGATATAAATTCAGAGGATCTCCAAAAAACGTGACAAATACTTTCGCGAATAAATTTAAAGAATGTACACTGATTTTCAAAATGATTTTAGCACTTTTTGTCGATGCAATTTGAAACGCAGTCCCAACGCATGGCCCAATGAGAGAATATAACTTCTGAAAATTAACCGAAAACAAGTTCTCTCGCTAGACTATTGGCTACGTTCGGCTACGTTCCAAATCACATTGAGAAGAAAAATGTTGAAATTGTTTTGAAAACAAGTATACAAGAACAATTTCTCATTCATCTTACCAATTTATATTCTCCCAATGTTAACTACATACGATGCTCATGTAAGAGACTTGTTGCTTTTGACTATCACGCTTTAAATCACATGGATAAATATTGCACAATTACTCACCCAGCGGCAGTAGAGAATCTCTTCAACTGTAAAATAAGGAGTCTCGGTAAGGAAGGAAAACACACAGCTCTACGAGCCTCGTTATATCGTAGGCAACGTGCGCACCAATACTTGTCTCTACCCCAAAGAAGCTCACTAGTCACTACAGCACGTTTGTACACTTCGCTGCTATCTACCGAGCGGCCGTCGTCATCTGCAAAAAAAGCTGTTATTCGCGGCGCTGGTCCTTACTTTGACTTTCGACTTCAAATCTCAAAATTCAACAATCAGTACGCACCTTTCTCATTCGAACGGTCAATATCGATAGGCACGCATATATCACAAAACGTTTCCTTGCGTTCTGTGACGTATTCGCACTCGAGACACGTTGTCCGCAGTAAACTGACCCCCTCGAAATCCTCTGAGATGAAACACCTTTTGCTCTCCAACTTGCGCGTGCCAATCTCCCCGTTACTCTCAGCGAATTCCAAGTGGCCGTTTTCGTACGGTCTCACCGCGGACGTCGCGATGCCGTTCATGTTAGACTGCGTGAGAGACACCGAGCTTCCCCTGGTCGTGATCTTCTTCTTCTTTCTCGACTTACGAATGCTTCTCTTGCCGGAACCGCTGCTTTCCGATTGTACGTCAGTTGACTGGTCCGTCTGAATGGAGAAGTCAGAAATGCCGCCGTTGCTCTGACCGAATTGGCTCTCTCTATGTCGGACCAATAACTGGAAGGTCTCTCTGATGTTGTCGAGCAAGCAGACCAGGAGCTCGTGAGCGTCTTGCTGTTGGTTTCCCTCGAATATCGGATTTACTTCTCTGCAATTAACAACAATATAAGTTGTTTAAAAACAACATAAGTTATTTAAAAACAACATAAGTTATTTAAAAACAAATCCATAGCCACCAACAGCCGCATGTATGTACCTAAGAGCTTGCAAAAAGGCATCTGGCTGATAAGGTTCACTATTTTCTCGCGCCTCTGAGGCGCGAAGTGCCATAAAGAGCTCGTGCAACTTTTCAGTGGCTATCTGAATGCGAGGCTTAGTAGCTTCCCCTGTTGGTCCAGCTAATGCTAATAGGTCTTTATTGCTCCAGCTACGACTGCTGCTTGATGACAATGATACACCAGTTCTACCTAATGAAGAGGATTTGGCCTGTAAAAGAATTATAAAACATTTTACAAAGTAATAACTAGTAACACACTGTCTTTTCCTTTTACAAACAAAAATCACTTTATTTATGCAGCGCTTACTTTTGTTTGAAGTTGTTTGTCATTTAAGTTGGATAAATCAGTAGCAAGATGATGCAAATTATGCAGAAAAGAAGGTGCAAATCTTAAAGTATATAATACACTATTGAGGAAGCAAGTATTCCCTAGATTGCATAGAGTGGCTATCTTCAAGCCTTCTGCATTGCCACTACCAGACATGTCATAATTTCCATCCTGATGATTGCTCAACTGATTGCGGTAGCCATTCAACATCTTGCTCGTACCTTTGTAAATAAAATATCCATGTAATTGGAATATATGTATCACCATTGGTTACACTAATCACAAACACAATATGCTTGTTCTTTTTATTTAAACTAGTGCTGCACTAGAATTTTGCTCTTTTCTTTTATGTTAGTTTATACATTTATTTGACTTTAACAGCATTTTAACAGAAAAGTGCAATCTGGTTCAACTAAAAAAAATGTGACAAAATGTTATGTAAAAAAAAATATATATATATACTGAATGCAAAGTCTGATGTATCCAGGAGGCCCCCTCTTGCAGATGAATGAGGGGGCTGCGGGATGATGGTGGTAATCACACGTCCGCGACCCGACAGGGACAGGCAGAACTTCTTTCTAGGAGGAACCGAGCGTTTATCTGCGTCTTCCTCTGTTTCTAATACTGTCATCTTCTTCTAACCTAAAAATCACGAGACATCTGCTACAGCGATCGGTTGACAAGACGGTAGGGAGAGGAAGCGCGAACACAGTCCGTCCGTGTGAGATTTCCCTCCGTGCATAATCCCACGTTAATGTACGTCGGGAATGCTCATTGACGTGAAACGAATTGCAGCGTCTCTCAAAAGAGAGAGAAAAAAGGAGAGAGAGAGAGATAGACAAAGACGGTCACACCAGCCCCGTGGAGCGTGTCCCGCATCGTGCGAATATGCAGAAATAAGATGCTAAGTGCGTTTACTCACGTATGACCGAGTGAGGAAGTCATGAAACGAATGGGGCTCGTTTGTCACAGCGTCACTAAATCGAACTGATTCTCTATGCTAAAGAGCCACGCGAGACGAGCCTGATCGATTTTTGCAAGCTACATGTCTAATAGTCTTTCGTCTCGCGGATATGCCTTCGGCTTGATGCCGCCGCTACGTGCTCGTTCGCCTCGATACTTGGACACGACACAAGCAGCGCCGATCGGTTTACGTAGAGAGAAAGAGAGAGAGAATGAGAGAGACCTGTGGTCTGTTCTTTTCAGCTGCACTGTTGCAATAAGTTAGAGTGAGACAAATTTTATTTCGCTTTAGCTTATTGCACCAGTGTAGCAGTGCAGTTGAAAAGAACAGACCACTTTTCAGCTGCACGCTGAACTGTGCTGGGATTCTGTAACTCATTATTGGAGTTAATAATAGTTTTATTATCATTGTGCAGCTTTTCTACAGGATACAAAAGCTGTGCAACGATAACAAAACTGTCGTTAACTCCAATAACGAGTTACAGAATCTCAGCACTGGTGCAATAAGTTAAAGTGAGACAAGTATGAGATAAGGGGTGTATATCAGTTGAGCACGGGGCAATTGGACACAGTCCAATCACAAGTCGCTGTTCCAAGGGACCCTACAAATGTCTCTAATCACACGGTGCTGTGATTGGTTGTGTCCAAATGCACCGTGTCCAAGTGCACCGCTCCCTGAGATAAGTAGTTTTCCTACTTTAACTTATTGCACCAGTTCAGCAGTGTAGCTGAAAAGAACAGACCATCGGTTTCAGGTGATCCTTGTTCCTACGAAGCGCCTCTATGTATATCCATGAACGTGGACATAAACTACGTGGCCGTAGAGTCCCTAGAATACAGATGCCTATATTCTGAATCCTCTTTTATCTATAAAAGTGCCTCTAAAAGAGGCCTAGAAGCCACCTGATTGGCTGAGAAGCTACATCTAAGGCACTTTTATCGATAAAAGAGGATTCAGAATATGGACCAGAGTCTTTCTTCGGGTAGGATCCGTTTAGCGTTGCAAGTACTCAAGAGCGACCAATCATATAGCTTTATTTAACGCTTCCAAACATTGGAAGTGTCAATCTCGGACTCTGTTCTTTATGAGACTTGAGTACGTGGTTAGTACACGATGGTGGTCGAGGAGAAAATGGATTTCTCGAAAGAGAACACGGTGCAGAATGACGTGACAGCGAAGGAACCGAAGACCTTTTCTTTAGAGAGTATCCTTTCGTAAAAAAAAACATCCCTGCGATTTCGGCAAGGTTATCAACCGCCATATGTTGTTTCCTAACCTCTCGTTGTACCACCTAACAATCTGTTGAAAATAGACATTGCAAAATATATTAAATTAACGAATGCAACCGAATAACTTACAGCATTATTCTCATATGTAGTATAAAAGACCTTGTGACTTGTAGCTGTTGTAGATAAACCTTTGGTAATATCTGTAACACTTAACAAGTATATAGTTTTGAAAATAATCAAGGAGGCACAGCAGCAGCATGGCCTGCGACATGGTGATTACCAGCGATATCGTGGCTACTGCTCGAGAAGGCTCAGAAGACTGCGTAAGGTATTGAAAGTACCACAGGGTGACAGACGTCACTTCAAGAGGAAAGACATCATCCCTGTTATGGTCAGCGAGGATAAATTCTTGCAAGTGCCCTTGATAATGGCTGAGCGTGCGTGGAGTTATGCGATGCAGCTGCGTCAGGAATCTAACACAGAGCCAAGGAAAAAGTTTCATCTGGTATCGAGACTGAAGAAAGCAGCTGCATATTCCTTGCAATTACAAGATTTAATAGAGGTGTGTTCCTTTGTTTGTATTGGATAAAAATGTAAAGCAGTTGAACTTTTAATTGATATTCAATAGATTTAAAATTAACTGAATGAAGTTAAAAATTGTAAACTTTTTAACTTAACTTTAACTAGTTAACTAGTTATTACCTAACTCTGGTTTTTAATAAAGCTAAGAGATGAAATGAGAGATTAGTGCGTCACATATATGTGACACTGATAGATGTATTAATTAAATCAATCAATTTATAAATTGATATGCTTCAAAAATTTCAAATCTCAATTTCCGTGCTTATTACTACTATTACTATTGTTAAATATTAAAATATGATGTATATATGTTATATACATATAAATATGTAATATTTAAGATTACCAAACTTATTATTGTACCTTTTGTGAAACTCTGTCCAGAAAGTAAACTGCGACGCGCGCACCAAACTGGAAGCTCAAGCATATGTAGCCTGGATGAACGGCTCGCTGCAGTTTGAGTTGCAGTTGTGGAAACAGGCCATGGAAAACTTAAAGAAAGCACAGGTGGTGTACGGCAACCTGGCGTCCGCGTTGCCAGAGGCGGAGCAGATCATGTATAAGGCGCGAGTGGAGGAGTTGGCGCCTAGTCTCAGATATTGCGCCTACAACATCGGAGACACCAGCGCGATAGATGATCTCATGCAGATGCGTGGCCAACTGAGCGGCGAACTGATGGCCAGTCTGGACTCCTTGATCGCACAGACGCGCGAGAAGCAGGCCAACATGGAGGAGGTGACATGGCGCGGCAAATCGTGCGGCACTGTTCCGCCGAGGGCGGCCGGTCTGATCATCGCGGACTCTAGACTGAATCAAGCGCTGGAGAAAGCCGCCACGAATCAGGCCAAGATCGACCTGCTCGAGGCGCACTTGATCGACTGCAAGGACGCGCTGTCAGTCGTGCGCGATCACTTCAAGACCGAGCTGAAGAATCGGGAGAGCAACGACAAGTGGTCGGCGCCGCAGCACCTCATCAATTATCTGCAATACATCCGGCTGTCGCGCACGTTGGAGCGTAATCTGGCGCTGGTGAGCGCAGCAGAGGAATCTGAGAAAGCCAAACCTCAGGACATCGTGCGCCTGTACGAGGCTGCTCTGCATAACCTCGTGGAGATTTCTCAGTTGCAGGACGACACGGAGTTTTTGGAGGAGCAGACGGCCAAGACGAAGGGCTATAGGGCTTTCCGCTGCTACTACATAGCCCAGTCGCTTGCCAACCTTCACCGTTGGCGCGAAGCTATGGCGCTCTATCAGAGATCACTGCAGCATGTGAAGGATGCGCTCAAGTATGCTCAGATCCTTCCGGACGCGTTGAAGGCCGCCTTGTGCAAGCTGGAAACCTCCGTGGAGGCCGCACAGTACGCCGCTCACGCTCACAGCGTTCTCGAGGACCACGAAGAGGAGGGTGGCACGAATAAGCACGCCAAAACAAAGAAGCCCTTGTATGAGCGCTTGCACGAGTACAGAGAGGATCCCGCGCTTCTCACCAAACAACCGAACGTCTACAAACTGCCGCCGCCGATGCGCAGTATTCCCTGCAAGCCCTTGTTCTTCGACCTGGCTTTCAACATGGTAGAGTTCCCCGATCTGTCGCATAAAATGGGCGATCAAGCCAAGAGAGGACAGGCCGGCTTCGTCAGCGGTTTCGTCAAGGGTCTCTGGGGTTGGGGAAATAAATAATCATTTCGCATGCAATTCCCAAGGAGCGACAGGATCTTGGACACGTTATATAGAAAGTACAACGTGGTGTACCGTTATTGCTGTATGTGTGTCTCTCTTTGTGAGATATATCAGGCCAGAATGCTGGGCCTCTAGAGGAAAACGTTTAGTAGTCGGCATTCTATATATCTTCAGCATTGGAAACTGTAACGAATGCCTGTTACTGAACGTTTCCCTTTTACATATAAATCGAATTTGCACTATAACAATAATATTGCCGGGGATAAAAATAAAATGGAATACTTGGTGTACAGATCGGGAGACTATTTGTCCTCATGTGAGTCTCCTTTCCTATTTTATGTGCTCTCTTAAGACTCCTGGTTTCTCGCCGCGGAACTCTCGATTGACGACGTCAGAAAACGTATGCCACAAGTTTTTGCGAAATTGTTTAATTCTTTCTACAGTTTTACGCTGTAGTATAAAAGCAGGTGTTTCCTAATATACACAGTGACCAGTAAATATATTTGTTTGAAAAACTAACGGTGGCTTCACGAGAAGCAAATAATACACATCGATAAACTCGTACATATTCAACGGCTAACGCAAGTTTTCAAGCTTCTTTACTTTTGGTGAGTTCCTCGACCAACTTTCTAAATACCTGCGCGACTTGACTGTCAGGTAGCGTCACCAGGACGCTTTGTCCTTTATCTGCTTGCTTGTCGATTTGCGGGTCTATAGGCATTTTCGCCAGAAATGGAACCTTTACCATGTCTGAGAGAGCTATTCCGCCGCCCGAAGAGAATATGTTGGTGCATTCCTACAAATGAGAAATTTATAGGGCTATATTATGCAATAATTTGCAGCCAGTATAATGTATTAATTCGTAGTTGGCAAAAAAAGAGAAAGAACACTCACTGTACACGACGGGCAGACGAAGCCACTCATGTTCTCGATAATACCGATTATGTGAATTCCAGTCTTCCTGCAAAACGTCACTTCTCGCAGGACGTCGTCTACCGCAACTGCCTGTGGAGTGGTCACTATAATTGCACCGTCACACTTTACATTTCTGTAATAATTTGAAGCGATAGATGTTTAGTTAACAGAAGTTGAGATTGAGTTATCAAATGTCTTCTAAATGGACAGTTGGTTTGTTTAAACAATTAACCTTAGGTTTTCCATGACTGTAATATGTTCATCTGAAGTCCCAGGTGGTGTGTCAATGATCAAATAATCAATATCCTGCCACACTACATCTGTGAGGAACTGTTTGATCATACCAGTCTTCTTAGGACCACGCCAAACTATACTGTCATCCTGATTCTTCAAGAGGAAACCAATTGACATAACAGACAGCTTCTGCTCTGCATCAGCAAACACTGGCATCCATCTGTATTAAATTGATTTCAGACTTTTTACAAGACTGTAATAGACTACCACTTGTTAGATTAACTATCATTCAAATAAGATATACCCTTCAGAAGACTGATGAATATCTCTTCCCTCCAAATTCAGCAAGTAAGGTACACTAGGTCCACAAAGATCAACATCCAAGATTCCTACCTGCAATAATTTGCAAGCCAATTTCACTTTCAGGAAATTTCAAGTAAATTATATAACATTTTGAAGGATGACAATTAAGAGTGTATGCACCATATGATGTCAACTAAAAGTTATTGAACATTGAAATTTAGAAAGAAAATATAGTTTTTAATTTTATAAAACGTGAAATATTAGAAGAATGAATTTCAGTTATGCAGATTTAAAATGTTGCGAACCAATATCTGCCAGTGTTTACATTATATCATCCACATATATTTTTAAGTACATTAATCATAACAGAGGGGAAACTCTCGATGGTGTGTTACCTAAAAGCACAAAAATAACAATTTTTGGAAGTATCGCGTAATAGCTCCAAACACTCACTCGAAAGCCAGACTCCTTTAATGCGAGGGCCAGCTGAGTGCTGATCGTCGATTTGCCGACACCGCCTTTTCCCGAAAGGACCAACAGCACGTGTTTCACGCCCTCCAACATCGTGCAAATCAATGACGAATCAATTAGAAAATCGCACCAACAAATAGACAAACGACACACGACAGAGGTTCGTGAAACAATGTTACGACAATTGAAACTTGTCCCGGCGAACAATAGTGTGTGTGAGGTCACGTATAGTTTTCACATAACCGCCAATAATCAATCACACTTGACCATGCGTAGTTACATAAAAGCTTGAATAGCGAACGACGCTCCTACAGTTGTAGCATTTCACATTTCGGATTGTAAACATAACCGCAAAATGTGACGTTTCAAACGGTGACGGAAGAATCGACGCTGTCATCTACCATTGGACTCCGTAATTACGCTGCATCACTGCTTTCCTTTGGATAAGAAAGGTAATTGAAGGATTGAACGAGGAAGACTGTTTCATGTCGGACATGCCGCAGAACTCACGGTGGAACGTAATTTTTCAGTCTTCTTCGAGAGTTTCGACTTAGTGTTGATTATACAATTTGTTTGGTAAATGTATGGGATTTGATAATGACATATCTTCGAAAAACTCGGCTGCATGTGTGTTTCTATTTAAAAATTATTTTATTTGATATTTGTTTACAAAAGAATCAAAACTGTCATTCAATTGTCTCTGTTGAGAAAATAAACCTTCTAATAAGAGGTCTGTTCTTTTCAGCTGCACTGTTGCACAATAAGTTAGAGTAAAACAAATATATTTTATTTCACTTAGCTTATTGCACCAGTGTAGCAGTGCACCTGAAAAGAATAGACCACTACTTAATTTCATATTTCAGATTTAATGATATTTAATTATTGAACGTTCAAACTCCCAAGTATTCGGATATAAAACTGTCCAATGATCTGTTCTTTTCAGCTGTATTGGTGTAATAAGTTAAAATGTGACAAAATATATTTGACACATATTGCAGCTGAAAAGAACAGACCACAGATATTCGAAGTCGGTTCTGATTTGAAAACTCAAAATCGCACTATTCAGATAATGTAGGTTATTAGGGGCGCGATCCAGCAACCGCTAAAAATGCTGCGCAACGTTTCTCCCTCTTGTTCTATTACTCGGATTCGAATGAAGAAAGAGAAAGAAGTAAAAACGCTACAAAGCATTTGCAGCGCCCGCTGGACCGTACCCTTGGCCCTATAACTTCAGACCAGAGACTCGAGACCCAGATCTGGAATTCGTACACAGAACCAAGATTCGGATCTATAACCTCATTTAATTCGCAGTATGTCGGTATTGACTATTGACTGTCAGATATTTGAGAGGAATCTAGGTTACTACGAACATATCTATTTGGCCGACTCCATAATGACCTAAATAACACGTTTAAGAAACGTTTTTAATATATTTTACAAACGATAATAAAACGTTATATACGTTTATAAAACGTTATATACGTTTATAAAACGTATATAAAACCAACATATGCTACCAGGGTGAACTTAGATGCGGATCCAAATTCAAATTTGACACTTCGATTTGTTTAGATATTTTAAAAAATCTGAATCCCCGGATAAAGTTAGAATCACACGATGCACGATCTCATGTCTTCTGATATATATATTGACTAGTAGCTGACATCAGAATGCATGTACCCACATAGCACAAAAATATTAAAGCAATATTAAATATGACATTAGGGAAAATATTTGAGTAACATTTGTAAACGTGAAAAGAATATTATTCTGATCTTAAAATGTTACTTTCCGGAACATTAAAGAAATGATGCAACCAAATAGTAATACAAGGTTGGTCAATATTACATTTAATGTTGCTTTGTGTTGGAAATAATATTACTTTTAATACCATAAAATGTCAGAATAATATTAAAAGAAAGGAAAAGAAAATGTATATCCTTTATATATTCCATTTTTATTGAAAATTATGATAAAATATAAGAAAGAGGAACAAAATCATGAAGAACATATAATACTTTCCATATATAAACATATATGCATTAAACATATAATGTCACGCTGAAAAACGTTAATCATAGTAACTAAGATTTAATTCAATAATATGTTCAATTGTTTGGTGAATATAACTACCCACATAACACGTAATATATATAATATCACAGTAATATTTCCGTAATATTTTTGCGATATTACAATATTACGGAAATATTACTGTGATATAATGTAATATTACGTGCTATGTGGATAAATATTTAGTCAGTATGAACAAATGTTGTAATTATATATATATTTATTTTATCATATACATTTGTTGTGCATACTTCGATCTTCGTATGTGTCTTCTCTGCGCATCCTCGAATAATATGCGCATGATATAAATTTCATTATATGAAAATATTATATTTATATATGCATTCAAAATCAATACAATCTTAGCAGGCAATGTTACATCAATATAGTACAACATGTTGCTTTCACGTTAAATTTTCATACATACATTTGGTACATTACTGCAATATGATATTGCTATTACAAAAATGTAACTATTTTTCTACGTTACTCCAATATTTTAATAATATTAACATTGCTACTCTATAATATCGGACATTAATATAACATTACATTGACATTCAATAAAATATAACTTACTGCAAATATTCTGGCAACATTCTAACAATAATAACGTTGACTTTTGTGCTATGTGGGTAAGAAGGCATGAAATCATGCATCGTGTGATTCTAGCTTAACCCGTATTTGAGGCGTTGCATTTATTCGAATAATCAGCTATCTGTACAGTGTCAGATTCGGACAAAGTTGTTAAGCCCTAAGTTCAAATGTGAGCTCGCTACAAAGAAGTACGTGTATCGTATATATTCATATAAAATCTTCGATTTTGCATTCTATTCAAATTATAGAAAAAGAACATCGCGTCACCAGCGTGAAGTTGCCGCCCGCGGCGGCGCAATGCTCTGAAGGTAGCCGCGATACGCGTCACAGCCGCGTCAGCGCCGGCGGGCGCCCGCCTGGCAGCGGTTAGTTGGCCGCGCGGACGCCAGAGCGCGCAGTGCTGTGCGGAGTGTCGCTGGCTGATCCGTTCGCGCGCCGCGTCGCGTCAGCCACCTGGTTCGCCGCTATCGTCGTCGTCGTCGTCGTTGTCGTTGCTGTCGTCATTGTCCGCGTGTTGTCCGCCGTCGACGCAAGCGGTACGAAACGACTCGGCTGTTTACGGACGCATCTCCACCTTGCGCACCACGTAACCTACCGCCATGGACGTTCTGCAGAGCGTCTCCCAAGAAGCGATCTTCGTGGGCATTGTGATCGCCTACGTCATTCTCGTGTTTGTCTTCGGCTTCAAGCATGCCGAGCAACCACCGTTTGCGAAGCTCTCCGCGGGCTCCGTCGTGAACCGAAAGCTCCCCAAGAAGCGCGTCAAGGTTAGTGAAGTGTCAGCAGGGTGAAAGATTGAACACGCGTCTCTTTTGATTTTTCCTTTCTCTCGCGCTCTCTTTCTCTCTCTCTCTCTCTCTCTCCCACCTGCGCTCTTTCTTTCGCGCTCTCTCTTACACTTTACTTTTCCCGCGTCCTTTTCCCTGTCCCGACACGTCGCGATCGCCCGCCATATGGTGGCTCATTTGTGGTGCGAGTTATGCACACGCACACACGCCTGCTAATCAGCTGGTTCAAGTCTGCTCCAAAAGGGTGCCTGCCTTTCCTTCCCCTCGGCGACCGTGACGTAATGCCGTAACATGAACGTTATTTGTTTGCCCTGTCAGCATGGTCCCTGGCTGCGTGGCCCGCGGCATACTCGTGTTCTCTTGATAGCCGTCTTCGTCTCCATTTCACGTGTTTAGCGATAAACGAAGTCAATCTTCTTCGGCACTTTGCATGCTTGTTTCTTATCTCTTTTTTTCTTTTTCTATGAAATCCGAACGTTACTGCCGTGCTCGCAGATATAGTTAAAGGGCTTAAAAACTTGACTATTATTTGTACTATGAACTGATAAGATTTAGAATTATTTAATCTTCAATGTATAATAAGGTGAAACTTGAGAGATTACATAAAGTCAGTAGTGTTAAGAAGCAGTATATTCTTGGGGATTTTTTATGAAACAATGAAATAATACAATTGACTGTTGTATAAATAAGAGTTTAGAAAAATAAAGATATTTTTTTTTAAGAAATCCAGATTACTTTCTCGATAAGATCATACAATAAAAGTGTATGAGATCTTACAAGAGTCTAATTTTATAATATGAACAATAAGAATATGATATATAATTTATAAAATTTTACTCAATATCTCTTGCTCAAGGAAACATATTGTACTTTATTGTTAGATAATGTAATTACAAATGAAACAACTCATATATTTCATCACAGAAAGCTGCTAATGGACAGGTTGCAGCTGAAAAAACAAGCCCTGCTAAGAAGACCTCAGTCGTGAAGACAGAAGCACCAAGGAAAACTACTAGTGCAAAAGGAGACGATGTTGATGGGAAATTAGTAGAGCGTAAGCAGGAGGACAACAAGACTGTGACAACCAAAAAAGAGAAGGAGCAGATCTCAGCTAAGGCTGGTAAAGAAAACAAAATAGAGCAGGTGAAGAACAAGAAAAATTTGAAGAACTTGTTCCAGGAGAGACCAGCAGACTTCGATGATGGTTGGTTGTTTTATGTACACCGTTCTGACTGAAGCGAGTTTGGATTGCATATCTCTTGACTTGTAATTGAGACATACTGGCAATAGACAACATGTCATTGAGAATGACATTGGATCCAGACCCGCCAAGATAAAAAAGTTTATAGTTATATTTCGATATCTAATCTTTTAATATCTCGCCTCTCGTTAATTGGCGACAATTTGTCAATCAGTTGTCTCGATAGCTTCGGAGCAACTTTCTTGTTAAGTCGTCATTTATTCTTCTTTTAGTTTTGCGTTCTCTTTTCTTTATCCCTCTCTTGTTCTCTATATCTCGTTATTATATCGTAGGAACATTTTCTGGATGCCATTGGGCTCAGTAGTGTTATTATTTGTCGATTGTGTGTCTCTTTTTCGTTAGTTATGCTACTATTTTACCTTGTGATTTATCGAACACTTTGTGCGTGGAAGTTCTACTATATTAGCATTAATAGATAAAATTTGTCCTCTGCGTGCAATCGCATTTAGACTGTTGTCTGTTGGTGTTAATATCGTCATTGTCAACAGGAGATTGGGAACAAGCCTATTCTCGTAAGGATAAGAAGAATAAGAAGAAAGAGGAGGAAACTCCATCGAAGAAGAACAAGAAGACCCCTAAGAAGGCTGATTTGATAAATGAAGCTAAACAGAAAGAGCAAGAGAAGCTGGAAATCAAGGATCTCAAGGAAATGGAGAACAAGGAATCCAAAGAGGAGAAGGAGGTGATTCTTACACCTATCTCTGACGAGGAGATAGACAAAGAGAAAGAACCACAAAAGGAGGAAGAAATCAAGGTACGTTTATATTTAATGTAATTCTGTGATTTTTTTAGTAAATAAAATATTGGGCGTTATATGTAGCAGGTCGAAAAAGTCGAGAAGATCGAGGAGGTTGACAAGATTGAGAAGATTGAGAAAATTGAGAAAGTCGAGAAAGTCGAGAAGGTTGAGAAGGTTGAGAAAGAAGAGAAGAAAAGCGGAAAATCAAAGAAAAATAAGAAAGTATCCGAAAGTGAGAATACATCCGTTTCGGTGCCATCTACGCCATCTACGTCGGATATGAAGCCTGCCGTGGAAGAACCGCAGAAGAAGCCCGCTACCAATGCGGAGAAAGTAGCTGAAAACAATACGGAAGAAAATAAGGTGGTGCAAGAGAAAACGGCCGTGTTCGACGAATTAGGAGGTAATTTCACGTTTACTGTATTAACATTGAAATTACGCCATGATGAATTTCTCCAAGATGAATATTGCTTAATGACGTGCTTTCTGTGTCCCGCAGACGTCTGGACAGAAGCGAAGCCTCAGAAGAAGAGCAAAAAGAAGGCTCGTAAGGATAACTGAGGATGATTACTTGCGACACTAAACGACGTTATTCTCCGCGAGTAACAACGTGAGAATCCTGCTCGGTCCAAAGGACGTTTGTCGCTTTCGACAAGTCAGGTGTGTTTCAAGTGACTTACTTTAACCGACCGCCTGATTGAATCGTTCCTTTTTTCCCCTGTATATAATGCCAATTGGACTAGGTTTCTCGGATCGCTTATGATTTCTTAGTTATCTTCATGACTTCGATCACGCGATAGAAAGAGTAACACATAGGATCGGAAACTCTTTTATATGATTTTATCATTTTTCCTTAGTATATCAGTCAATTGTCTTGCATTTAATGAGAGAATGACATGAGTCATCGTGTGCTTCTCGACAACGGATAATTCTTGTAAACGTGTGTATGTACATGCAAACACATGCACACATAAATTATGTTTCGTAAGCAACTTCTTACACATGTCTATAGCATATTATTGTGTCGTTTGTATAATTATAACTCTATGTGGTGGATCCGTATTTAAGAGAGAGAAAAAATTTCGTAACGTTTCGTTAGGAATGGTACTTATGCCATTTACGTTTCCCCTTTTTTTTTATTTTTTTGTTGAATAATCTTGTAAGGAATATATTTTGTACAGTCACAGAATACGATTCTTTTTACGTTAAGTGATATAAGCATAACGGAGCGGTTTTGTGCGCATTGTCGTCGCGTTGTTACTTAAATGATCGGTTTTAATCTGCTCATCGCGCGGTGCTTCGCGTCGCATTCGTATGAACGGTTGACGGCCAAAACTCAGAAAGTATGTCTCGTATCTCAGACTAATATTTATAACGCAGGACAATCCCTCGAGAGCGCTGAACGTATATTGCTGATGTACATAGTCGCTTCCTGACAAAATGCCATATTTTTCTACGTGTAATTAGTAGATCAGCGACGGATTATTTTTTGTTTTGAACGTGTAAGAAGGATTCATCTTTGGTGAAACGCATTCGCGGAGTACGTTCGCATCGGGTACATCAGTAATATAAGTTTCGTATGGAGCGGTACGTAGAGAACATCGTACGTACCGATGACAAGACGCGGAACAGCGACGAGATGGTAGGAGTTACGTGACGAGATGCGATAACGACGACGAATTAATGTAGTCGTCCGACATCGAGACGATGGCATGTGTGTATATTTTTGCGCCTGTGATTGTTGCATTCGGAAACGTCTTTGACGTTTTTCGTGTTAATCGTTAACAAGGGTTGTCGACTTGAATGTTCGACTTCTCACGACTTGCGTTTTCAATGAGATAGTTTGCCATTCGGCCACGTCGCAATTGAGAAACGAACGAAACACGCTCGCAGGACGTTGCGTGAGACGTAAAATAAGCTCGGGCGCAGCAATATAGATGCTGTAATTTAAGAGACGAGAATTACAAGAGATGTATCCTGCGATAATTCACGAGAAATTACGATTATCATACGAAGAACGATTCGTTAGGTTTAACGTCAACGCCGTTGTACTCCGTGTCTGTGAGAAAAGATTTAGTGACGACTAGAAGAATCATTGGAGGTAGAAGACGTTCCGATATTTTCGCAATGATATGTATAATTTTTGCAGATACAGAGAAATGCCACTGATCTTGTTAAGTCTTCGTTCTTGTATTGTACACTGTGACACAACTGACGATTTTACGCTTGGAATGTGACTAAGTATTAGATACGTTGACTTTCGCATGCAACACAATCGTTCAAATTACTAATATATATACACACACACACACACACACACACACACACGCGCGCGCGCGCTACGATCAAGTCAAAGAAGATGTATTGTGATAACGATTACATCTACCATAATTGCAGTGAACAATAGATCTCGTAATTCCAGCTTCCGTTTCGCGAACAAACACAGAGACGGAGAACAAGAGAGAAACGAGGGAACGATTGAAATTATATTTTTGTATATAACTTACACGATTGAATCAACATACAGTTGCATCGGACATTATTTTACAGACTACTTTCCTAGACACTTTACGTCGTGCTAAACGAGACGATCAAATCCACATCAAAACCATACGCTTACGAGAATCTTGCGATACGTTCTGACAAACGATACAGCCGTTCATTTCTCATGCCATGTAGAACAGATGACGTATCGATCGCTTAATTATGCGTTAAAAGAGAGGGTCTAGTGTATTATATGTGCATACTCTATCAATGTTGCTGTCAAAATATACCGTCAATATCCTCCGTCGCTATTGAGCTCCGTAAAGCTGACAAAATTCTGCACAAGAGTGTTGCACATACATTGGGGATATCGGAGATAATCGAGATTTTACATTTCCGTCAAAATGTTGTAGCTTATATTTTGTCACAGAAAGAGAAAGAGAGAGAGAAAAATACACCTATACACACATACACAAAGAGAGCATACTAAAATATAAAAGAAAAAAAAAACAAAAATTATCCTCACGAAAGCAATTAGACGTGAGTGAACAGATTATATTGTCGTTGTAGAATACATGTTGTGACAACGCTCATTCTAAACAATTTACGCACTAAGAGCTATATATCTGTTAACGTGTATAGTATATTACTGTATCGATAATTTTAAGTGAGAAAGAGAGAAAGGGAGAGAGAGAGAGAGAGAACGGGAAGAGAAGAGTGAGCGGGAGAGAGTGAGATCACCTGAGATGTATGACAATATTGTGATAAGCGTACTATATACCTGAGCATTACTTGAATGTTGCAAACGAACGCTAAATCATTCTTAGCTTCTAATGCATGGAGAATAATCTTGGAGAAGTACCTATCCTGTTCGAATAGCCCCATTCATATTTTGTATATTAAATCTTATTGTATTTATACACACATACACGGCACAAACATGCATATGTATATACATACAATCCGTGCTCACCCACTCAACATCACTGTGTACAAGACAAAGTTCCAATGTCAAACACACACACACACACACACACACACACACATATACACACACCACTTTCGCGGGGATCTGCATTGCGCGTCGTGCGGAATTGCAAGAGGAACAAAAGAGGAGTTTATTTGTAAAGCGCATCGAGAGAGCAAGCGCGAACTCGAATTATGAATTTGCCGAGTTGAAACGTTTCTGCTGACCGCATGTGCGTGCCGTTCGCGTGCCAAAAAGCATCGTTTCTTCTGAATCACGTCCGAGGCTGAATTTTGTACAATAACTCGCGGATACCATGAAAGCGAGAGATGGAAAAGAAAATATAGATAGATAGATAGATAGATAGGTAGAGAAAGAAAGAGAGGAAGAGAGAGAGAGAGATTTTTAGCGACGCTATTTATGGCCATCTCGCATATTCAGGTCTTTTATGATCGATAGTCGCAAGACTGCGTGGAAAATTTCCTCCTATGGGGCGTGCATCGCTTGACTCTTCTTCTGCGCGGCACTTCGCGGCCCGTTACTCGTAATCACCGGGGAATGACAATTCACCGGTAGTTAGCGCTTAGTCAGCGATTACCTAGGTAGCTAATCGAGTAGCTAGTTCAATTTACGCGATAGCCCCGTGCCGTCTGTCGTACTTGTTCTGCTCGAGGATCTCTGTAATATTATTCCTCGAGCCCTCGCCTGTGCGCGCGTCCAGAGAAGGCTGAACGGAATATGCAGAAGCGGTTCTGCGAAGGTAGATATTGCGAGCAGTATCGAACTGAGAGCAAAATTCTGAAACACTATATCCGTGGAGATATGAAGTGTCGAGTCAAACAACAATGAATGTCAGCTCCGACGACAATTGCGTATTAACACGTCGACTGTCTCACGAGTGGCTTGCATGTCTCACGTCGCAGATTGAAATTGTCGTCACATGATAATGGCGTATGATCTAATGAAACGTTGCGTAATATAATTAATTGAAACTGCACATGGTGTGTATTTATCTCGTTGGGAGTCGACTCTCTTACGGCAGTCAACATGTTAAAAGTCGCTCAGAGAAGGAGTTCTCGGATATTCAATTGCACAGCCGAGGTGCGATCGCGTATATTTTCCTGGGGATATGGTCCCATCCACCGAGATCAGTTCCAAGCGATTCAGTACCGCTCGCAATGACGCATCCGATCGTCGGGCCGATTAACGGAGTACTTAATGCTCGCGCGCGAACGGAGAGGAAAGCCGAGAGAAGCGTGATATCCGACGGCTTTCGAGAGACACGAGAAGTCGGTGTATTTTTCTAATAAGTAATGACTTCTGAGCCACGTCGCGCCTACGTGGTGGATACGTGGCGAAGCGACGAGCGCAGCCGGATCCGGCGAACACGTGCGTCTTCGTAGTCTCGATTGTACGACGGGAACGCGCTCGTCGCAATCGCGGGGCTTCTCCTCGGCAGAGAAAAGCACGACACTCTTCGTTGCCGGGGAAGAGAGCGCGCGGGGCGAGATTTTCCCGGGGAAATCGAACGGGGGACGTAAAGAGCGCCGTAGAGAAGGCGAACTGGCTATAACCGCGAACAAGTATTATTGCCACTGTACATATGTATGTTAACGTGAGAGCAGTGTTCTCCTTTATTGAATGTATATGTGCAATTGCGTTTTACGGTTCACACTATAGGTGGACGACGGTCTCCGCGGCGGCGGAGGCTGTCCGGTGCGTCTTCGTCGATGCGTCTTCGCATTTCAGAGATATTTCCGAGGAATCGATCAGCGTCCAACGAAGTGCATAGTGTGTATGTATGCGTGTTTGTGTGTACACGTGTGCGTGCGAGTTCACATTTTGAAAGTGGTGCGAGTCAAATTTCGCGACGCGACTAATTCGCTTGAGAGATGAAAGATTCGGCGGATACGCAGCTTTGACTCTTCCCGTTTTCAAGATGCATCGCATTCACAACCACCGCGCCGATGTATACATCGTGATATGATACGTGGCGTGTGACCACGTGGCTCGATTCACAGATCCGATTGACGATGTGTATCTCCACGGCGCGGTCCTCGCGTTAGTATACACTTTCCGAATGTATATCTCTTCGATCTGCACATTGAACATAATCGAGAAGAACGCGACTTACGACGGTCTACTTCGAAGCTGCGACCCAACGCGGCTCTTGGTTTTACGACTGGCACGTTATACACACGAGGACTCTGATCGCATTCGAAATATCGACTGTAAGGTAGAGATAAGATAAGGGAGAAAGAGAAACAGAAAGAAGTAAAAGTGCGACACGCGTGGCAGTGTCGAGATAGGATATATACATATATATATATACATATATATATATATATATATATATATATATATATATATATATATATATAT